ATAAACCACTTTACTTAAATAGCATGTATTTTACTCAAAATTCAGAGAAATGCTAACAGTTTCTAGTAATCATGCCCTGGTATTAACTGGCAGGGATATGCCTAGAGCTCACAAGTTTTGCATCCATTATCACCAGATGAGTTCATCAGGTTAAAGTTATGCCAGGGAATAATGAAATATGTATATTTAGCCCAATTTTCTTCTTACATATCTCCCCGTGCACACATGGAGCCCCCTTTTCAAGATTAATATTATGAGCTGGAGAAATCAGGCCAAGGGTGCTGAATTACTGCCAAAAGACGGAACTGGAGGGAACCTTCTAAGGTCGTCCTTTCCGTCATTCTGCCTCCAGTAGGCCTGATTATTCTCCAACAGTCCCAAATGGTAAGAATCTGTCAAAGATGAGGAACAATTGAAATGCTGCTTGGGGCAGCGGCCTTTGTAACCCTCCTGACGGCAGCCCTCGGATGCTGTCTAGCTCCACGGTGCTGAAGTCTTCCCCCTTCTTTATTTTGTAGATTGTGGTTATATATATATACCCTTTTATTCTCTATGTTTTTAGACTGAAGAGCTCTCTTATAAAGAAACCTCCACCCCTTAATCATATTAGTAGCCTGCCTTTCAACTTTCTCTGGCCCCTTTATATCTATTCAAGCTGGTTGCAGTATTTCAGATATGAATTCTTCATGATTTATTTAAGTATAGAGGAATTTTTTTCTTTGATTTCTAATATGCTTTCTGATGATAGCCAGATTTTCTTGGCCACTGTGCAATGGTACATTACACCAGTATCTTCAGAGAAGAGTCTACAATGATTTTTTGGTCCTTTCTTGGATTGATAATGATGGCCAACAGTCTCATAACGATCATTTAGACTCTCCCCCTAGAACTGAACATTGAAGTTCCTCTCTCATCTTCTCCCTCTTTGTACGGTCTTATGGGAGCTCATCACCTTCTATTTGCCTTTTAGGACCTGGAAGATCTCAGTAACTCCTATAGCCTTGGCAATTTCACTTTTCATTTCTCTGTCCTGTTACTTACAAAACTATAAAATTGCGTCGGTGACGGCATAGATCCCTGAGGAATCCTTCTAACTAGGAGAGAAGAAAACGAGAAAGCTACGCTTTGGATAATCTATAACCTGCAAAAGAAATCTCTGAAAAATTAGGATTTGTTCACGTGCCCAGAGAGACAAATTCCCAGAAGCTGGAATTTGCGGTGGCTCTTTATATTCCAAGGAGATGAGAGGCTTGGCTCTTGGTGAAGAAAGCTACAGCTTGGCCTTCTGAAGGGCACCGTGAGGGCCACCCTGCATCCGTGTTCTGTGAGCATCAGAGAACAGTTTCAATGAGGGGATATTCAAAAGGGGAGATTTGGTCTTTAGGAAAGCTCTTAGGGTTCTGATCCCTAAACAATGGCATCCTAAACTTAATGCAATTGCAAATTAGCAGAGAGCAATGGTAAAGTACACACACACAATATTTTACAAGGTATGCCTGTATACACAGAAGCTTCTAAGCATTTGCAATAAACGTTTGCATAATGGTAAGTAAATTTCCATTGATGTTACCAGGGAAAGGAACAAATATTGTGATTTGTTTCAGTGTAGCCCAGTTTAGGCCAATTTTGGGGCTCAATTAAAATATGGTTGACTATATTAGTTTTAATATGTATTAAATACCAAGTTGAAAAAGAGATAAGAAAACAGGCACTCATATGTCGCTAGTAAGAGTATAAGTTGGTACCCTTGCAGTGGAAGGCAACATGGAAGTATCTTTCAAAATTACAAATCAATATACCTTTCGACCTAGGAGTTCCACTTCTAAAATATATATCCTGTAGATATACTTACACATGTGCAAAATGACACAAGCACAAAATTATTCACAGCAGCATCGTTAGCAGTAAGTAAAAGATTGGAAACAACTTGAATGTCCATTATCAAGGGACTGGCTCAGTAAATCATGGCACATTCAAACAAGAGAATACTGTGTAGCCAGAAAGAAGAATGAGAACTCGTTGTGTATTGACATGGAATAATCTTCAAGATACTTGCTAGTTGAAAAAAATCCAGGTGTAAAAGAATGTTTTCACTGGGCCACGATTTGTGTGAAAAAGGGAGAAGAAAGCATGTTGATATGTGGATTAGATTGAACCATGTGAAATTGCCATTATTAGGCTGTTTTTGACCTGCAAAAATGGCAACCAATTCTGTTTGATTCCACCTGATGTTTGCTTGAAAAATACATAAAATCTCTGGAAATTTGTACTGTGATAACATTGGTTGTCTTTGAAGGAGGCAGAGCTGAGTTAACTAGGAGGCAGGGAGGAGATTTTGCACACTGAATATTAAGTCATGGAGATATAACAACTACTTAAAAAATAAATCACTAAAATTATATAGAAATAAAGAAACAAGTGTGGCTGAGGAATATCATTTTCTCATCTTGCTCTAGAATGAAACTGAGAAATCCCATGTTTCTACACTGAAGCAACCAAACATTTGGTTTAGTTTCCTTTTTCCTTCCACTTTGCCAGAAAATTCTGAGAATTATCGTTAAGTATCTTATTCAAGAAGAAAATTCCAGAGACTCAAGTGTTTTTGGAAAAAAAGAAAAAATATCTACATCACTAATGCTGCCCATAGAGAATGTTTCTGAGTATTTCCTCTTGGTGACTGCAACTTCGGAGTCCACGTTAATGACTTCAGTACCTTAATTAACAAATGGAACAGTGAAGAAGAATGGAAACATTAAACCAGATATGAATATGAACACATTAAAAAGAGAATGACTCATTCCTGAGTCTCTGTTCCCAGTCTACAGAATGTCAGTTGTAGTGGACGTGTTGCAAAACGTCTCCTCAGCTACTTGGATGATAACTCAAGAGGTGGAAATGTCAAAAGAGAGGGTTACACTTAGATTCACCTTTAATAGGATTTGTATGCCAAATGAATTAAATTTTTATGAATTGAAATTTCCAAGACAGATCTCACGTCTTTGGGACCAGTACTGTACTAAACAAGGCAGCATATCTCCAGCCAGATACTAGAGCATCGGCGGTGTGGTGCGTCACCCTAGTGCTGGACGTGAGGCGTTTTCACTGAGACGATACAAACTATAATACTGAATGCTAACACATTTTAAGTATTCTCTGTTTCTTGAAAGAATAAACAGAGAAGCAGCCCAGAAGTTTTCTTGGGAAAAAAATCTATAGAGAAAGGACTTTTTTTTTTTTTTAAAGATTTTATTTTTTCCTTTTTCTCCCCAAAGCCCCTCCGGTACATAGTTATATATTCTTTGTTGTGGATCCTTCTAGTTGTGGCATGTGGGACGCTGCCTCAGCATGGTTTGATGAGCAGTGCCATGTCCGCGCCCAGGATTCAAACCAACAAAACACTGGGCCGCCTGCAGCGGAGAGCGCGAACTTAACCACTCGGCCACGGGGCGAGCCCCAGAGAAAGGACTTTTTTACATTTCCAAATTGATACAGATTAATTTTTCAGTGCACAAAATTACCAGCTCAAGCATTAGCATCCACTGTTATAAAGTTATATATCAGTGATGTTCTGAAGACACACATATTTAAGGGCTGTCTACAGTAAGCAAACATCAGGCAAATTTTCTCTTTCTTGAAATACAGCTACCAAAAATCGTAAGTGACCTGAAGTTTTGCTGCAGCCTGGGGAGGTCATTTATTCATTGAACAGATATATATTAAGTGCCTCCTACTGCATATAAACATGGTCACTCGTATCACAAGAGCCGGAGTGGACAAAGAAACACCAAGTTTATTTGTTTCGTGTTACGTGGGATCTTTTCACATCATTTGAAAATTGTTGACCAGATTATTATCTCATATGTACACTAACTTTCAGTTAACCAGAGTGTTAAACGTATGAGCCCTTCCCAGATCATTCTGTGAATGAGAGCGTGCTGTATGTATTCCCCCATCCTGCTTGTTTCAGTCTCCTGAGATGTTCTCTGCGCTTTTAGAACTCTATGCTCAGCTTCATTTAGTGAGAAGTAATCACTTTTAAAATGGGTCTAGGGTCAGAATGGACTCTGCTTCCCTCATGACAGCAGAGACCCGTTACTGTGGAGTGAGGTGACCTGAGAAAATACAGTTGTGTATTAAAATCCCTTCTACTGGTTTCGTATCCTTTTTTTTCTTTGTGAGTAAGATTGGCCCTGAGCTAACATCTGTGCCAATCTTCCTCTGTTTTATGTGGGACGCCGCCACAGCATGGCTTGACAAGTGGTGCTGGGTCTGTGCCTGGGATCCGAACCTGCAAACCCCGGGCCGCCAAAGCGGAGCACGCGAATGTAACCGTTACACCATCAGACCAGCGCCTACTGGTTTTGTGCTTTAAAGCTCATGAAGTGCTTTCACGGCTACCACCTTAGTTCATTCTCATAATAAAGCCATGTGGTAAATCTGCAAATACTGTTTTCCCCATTTAACAGTGAGGCATCAAGACTCAAAGAGGCCTGCAGACCTGCCCGAGTGGTGTGACTGGTGTCAGGAGGCAACCCCTAGATTCAGTGCAGAGAATGGCGGGAAGGTGAGGGGTGTGCCGTACGCAGCAACTTTATGCCGGGTTAGAAAGAACAGTCGTGATGTGCTTGTCAGGGTGTCCATACCAATATCAAAGCTTGTCTAGAAGTCTGCACAGAGGCCGTGAGTGCAGTTACGTCGAGGTGGACTTCCCTATGCAAATGTGACCAGACATTTACTTTCATTTTGCTTGGCAGAGGATTTGAAATTGTGCCTGTAGTTTCCTCTATGCCAAACACTAAACAATTCAGTTTTCTTGAAGGTGCCAAAGGAACTTTCTTTGGTGTTCAATAACAATTTCACAATGTGATTAGATTCTCTCTCACATCTGGAGAGGGCTCCAACTTGCGGATCCTGGGCAACTTTGTAGTCCCTTCTTCTTTGCGTTAATGTACATTGCCTTGTGTTTGAAAATTAACCCAGACGTTTTCTTTTATTTCTAGTCCACTGCATCTCCTGTGACCTGTAAGAAGGGAAATATGGACGACTTGGACGTGAGCAATTTAAGTTACACATGTAGCAGACTCCTTCCAGGTGGACTCAAGGGAGAACCAGAGAAACAACCTGTGACTTCAAGCCAAGGAACAGCAACCAAAGGCGCTGCCAAATCCACTGCCCTGCCTAGAACCAAGAAGAAACTCTGAGGTCCCCTCTAACGCTGCGTAGTACAACGCTGAATAGTAAAGCAGAGCTGCTCTTTCTAGTGCTAAAGTGAGGGGATAGGAGGGGAACAGGACAGTACCGTGCCGAGCTCTCAGCTTTTTCTGTCCTGAGCCCTGCCGTGTGTTTGCACCAGTTTTCGGTTGAAGCCAGTTATCTCCAAAGCAGCCTGTTGCTAAAGGACAGCCGCCAACAGGCTTGACGGCGGGCTGCGGCTGAAATCAGCTCGAGACGTTTCCGAGAGCTGTTTGAGAGGAGCACATGTCCTCAGAGCAAGGCTGTGGGCATACTTGCTCGGTTTTACTTCAAATTCTTATATTCAGGCACAGTTATTTATAGGGGAAAATGAGAGCCACGTGTGGTAACGGAGGTCCCAAATAATTATGTGCACTTTGCGCTAGAAGGCTCTGTCAGAAAATTATTAATAAACTTGTCGTAGGTGTAACAGCAGAAGTGCCTCAGCCATTCACGTGTGTTCTTGTGATTGTAGGTTGCTGTAGATTCTTTAAGACAGCTTATTTTAAACCTAGAAAAATAGGAGATTTTGTAACTGCTTGCCATTAACTTGCTGCTAAATTCCCAATGTATTGATTAAATCAATAAAAAACAGATGTTACCCATGCACGGTAATTTTTATGTTAACAAGAGGTGACTATAATGAGGTCCTCTAAGCCCTTATGCAAATTATGAGCTTGGCCTGCTGCTGGAAGGCAGGCACGTCTTTGGGAAGGGCGTGATTTGGATACGGGGAAAATACTGCATTACTCTTAGTATTGTAGGTATCTCCTTCCACCTGGGCATGTAATTTTGCCCTTCGAAGTCAAACGGGGTGAACAGATCCTTCGCTTGGCCTTCCAAAAGAATTCTAAAGAAACAATTTGCATTGGCTTTTACCTTTCTGAAGTGGTAACCTAGTTTCATTCTACTCCCCCATGGGATTGTCACTTACGCCTCCAAGATGACCCGCACCTGGCCAGCTGAGCATGTGCCCTTTGCATGTAAATCCACTCAGTGGCTACAGGTAGTAGATGTGCTTCTTGGGATTAATTTGGAAGACGCTGTTGTGCCTCTGAGCGGGTCAAAGACAGCGCTGACTTGTGTTGCCCCTGGCTGAGTAGTTCTGCGCTCAATTTCTTTGCGCCTTCCGTGTGCTTCCCCTGGGGGAGTCTGCCAGCCATAGCGTGTCTAGTTTAAATTGTCTGGACTTAATTTTAAAACTGCAGTTGATGTAGCTTCTTCAAGGTCTTTCTCCCTTCCTGATTATTACTTCCAGTCCTATCAGGAGCCTGTAAACCATCTCCGGAGCTTTAAGCTTCTCTCCAGTCTTTGAGGAGCAGATTCTGGGCACCTGCTGAGAAGCTGGGCCTCAGTAGCTAAGGGGAGATTTCCCTTCCTAGTGGAGCTCCTGGAGACAAAGGCGAGAGCTGGCTTTGGTCTCCTTGCAAAAAAGCCAGCCGAGACACTGGCTTTGATTCTGTCCATCCCTTGGGCCTGAAAATGGAGTATTCGCTCTGTTCAAAATGCTCTTACTTTCCTAGTAAGACGGTCTTCTGTATCATGTGTTGGAGAACTCTGTTGTTAAGTTGAATACTATCCAAATTTCTCCCCACATTTATCTTTGGTCTTAAATTAGCGATTCTGCTGAGTCAGCTTGAGCGAAGGTCCAGGACTAAGCACGAACTGGAAGATGAAGTCACTTTATAACTTTTTAGTGTGTCTGCACCTCTTGCCACCACAGTACCAGGCCAGGCCAACCATCCTCCACACCACAAGGTGTGTGCGGCTTGCTCTTCTCCACCTACACTTTCATTTCATTTATGTAGAATCATTTTGATAGATACAGCTCACTCTTTCTAAAGGGAACTCTCCTGTTATTTTTATTTGTTATTTGTTTGTATGGAGCACACTTGGGCCAGGCCGTGTCTGAGCTGTGTCCCAGCTCTTGTGCCTCTTTAATATCAGGCACCATATGGCCTTGCCTTCTCCGTTTGCCTTCATGGCTGTGAAAAAAGTAGCTCTTGGTGTTTCAGACCGGTTTTTAGTGACTGAGAAGCTAACTCGAAGCCCCGATGACAATCACTGACACGTCCTCTGCCCTGCAGCATGGAGGCCTGGGCTTTGCTGTGACCCAGAAGGACGCACTCCGTCTGGGACAGTGCAGAGCAGGTGTAATTTCCAAGGAATCCAAGTGCTGATCAACACTGCGACTTGGATAACAGACAAGTCAAGGCAGGAGGAATGTGACAAGAGAGACAAATGCAGGCTTGGGGCTGGGGAGAACAGAAGATGACATCAGAGAAGAGAGGAGAATGGGTTGGGAGTCGGGGGAGCAAAAGGAAAACAAAGTATAATTAATAAAGAACACTGACTGGATGAGCACACGTGGTTCTGCTAAACCGGAAGCAGAATTAGAAGAGGGGCGCTGCTCCGAGCCGTCGTTCCAGGACGTCGGAGGTAGCACTGGCCGCTCCTGAGCCATACACAAGCAACCCAGACAAGACGTGGGCTGAAGAAACAAAGACCCGGGAAATGGAAGCTGAGAGAGGCTGTGATTTTGAGAGTTGGCCACAGAATAGTCCTTACATTTTGAGTAGGAATGTTATGTGGTGTTGGGAGGGGAAAGGAGAAAAAAATGAAAACATTTTGTGCTTATCATTGAAATGCTTTGTTTAAATAATTCTATTTGACTCTAAAATGTAAGTTCCCGGTTAGACAGATCAAAAGCAGCCAGTCTTGAAAATGAAGCTTTTTAAATTCCAGCCCTGCTGTTGGAATAGAATAAAGGCTTTGTTCAAACATGCATTCCCAGCAGTAAGCAGAGCTTTGAAATTGGCCAGGCAAGTTGTGTCCTATAATGGCTGCGCTTGGCTGGAGACCAAGAAGCTGTGGCCTCTGGGAAATGACCCTGGGCCAGATATTTTCCATCTGCCCCTCCAGATTATACCACTCTGCCCCTCTCTGCCCTCTCAGCCCAGAAAGGCTCATCTTTAGGGACTATATTAGCAGGCTCCCGTGGCCTCTGGATCTGTTGGGATTCTGTCAGCAGGAAGCACCAGCAGGCAGTCAGAGGGTGGGAGAGCGAGGTCCCGTCATTGATTCCCCCAGCACCTTCCGTGCTGAGCTGTGGGAATTCTCTGCACTCTCCTTCCACAGGCGGCCCTCCCTCACAGCTGTGTTCCTTGCGCCCTTAGTCAAGACCAGAAGCTCTTGCCCTGGGGGTCAGTGTCTTCCTTTGTGGTTTCCCTACACTCTCTCAGTACCTTTGTAAATAGCCTCTTCATTAAACTCTCAGCTACTCTGTTTGAGTGTCTGTCTTCTCCTGGGACCCAGAGTGACCCAGACCCTTTCCTCATCAGTTCTGCATGGTTCCTGACCTGGGGAAGTTTGGTCTGTGGTTGCCAAGCTCCTACCAAATCACAGCCAAGTGAAGAGCCGAAAACCTAAGTGAGTTCTTCCTGAAACAGACGGATGCACCTGGGTGGTCACTAGGGGTCTGGGGGAGGGGTTGGGGGGGTGACAGATGAGATGTCCCTGGGGTTGGAACCTAGACCAAGCAAGATCAGTGAATCTGAAATTATCTAGACCCAGAAGTTTTGCATTTAGGTCTTAAATTCCAACCCTGGCCTTTGGGAGCCGAAAGGAAGCCACACTTGACTTGGTACCAGCTGAGAGGACTCGGGCCTGGGCTGGGAGCCACCCTGCTGGCTCCGGCTGTGGACTTGCAGGCTCGCAGAGACTTCCAGGGACCTACGACGCCAGGAGGCGCAGGCAACCTGAAGACAAGACATCTCCCTGGGCTTTGCGTCTGTTTCAACTCTACAAGCACTGAAATCACTTTACAAAGCATTTTTAAGTAAAATTTCCACTATTCAAAGGTCTCACATGGCTCGATTTTACTCGTCAGGATCCTGTATTTTTCTGAGTGAGCTGGCTTAGAATTGATTTTGATTTCCGTTCAGTACATTGTTATCACTTAATTCGCATTGGTGAGCCAATTTTCTCTGCCTTTGTTCTTCAAAGGAAGGCCATGTTCGGTGTCGGTCCTGCGTTTTTGTGGCTGCCTTCCTCAGTTGCTGGTATCATCAACTCAACTCTGTTCACTCTCTGTCAGTTCTCCACGTTTCCCTAAATTAGCTGGAGTGGCACTCAGCAGGAGGGATGGGGGTTCCCACCACTGCCCCAGTGGCCTCGCTTCAAGCAGCAACACACAAGTGACAGTGGAACTTTGGGAAGATTAATGGAGCCATTGCAGTGTCACGCTGGTCCTCATAGAGACTTCCTGTTTCCGTTGCCTGGTGCTATCCCAGCCATCTTAGCTGGACCCAGTGGACACAGGATGAAGATCTAGTGGTTCCTGACCTGGCCCAGAGGACAGGGCCACAGAGGCAGTGCAGGCCCCTCCCCCAGTAGAGACTTCTCCTAACTGGATTCTGCGGCATCTTTGCACCACACATATCCTTGGCATTGATCCAGAAGTTACATAAATCTCCCTGTCCTTGGGGGACTGAGACCCACTCTTTGACCCTCTCACCCCCATCGGGCGCTGCAGACAAGATCCTGACACCAAGCTGTTGTTTAGGAAAGACTTTTATCATCACAGAAAGTCCTCTCCATCCCCGGGGCAATGGCAAGGTCAGCATCTCTAGTCTGACCCAGGAGGAGGCAGATGGAAGATGGAGAAAGACTGACACCGCCCGCCCCCCCCCCTCCCCCCCCGGACCCTGAGGAAGAAGCCCTTGTGCGGAGGTGGCAACCAATATTCCCTGGTCCTGGCCTTGGTTTACGCTGAGTTTACTGGAAGTCGAAGTCCTCTTGTAAGCTGGACTTGGAGCTGTATCAGTGGAAAGGATCTCTGTCTTTTAACTGAAGCCGTCTTCAGGGTCACCGTGTAATAATAACAGGAATACTTACAGAACGTTGATTATAAGCAGACACCATTCTAAGCACTTTACATGTATTCTTTTAATCCTTAAAACAACCTATGAAGTTGATACTGTTATCTCTACTGAGGAATAAATTAAGACACAGAGAGGTTGAGAAACCTGTCCAAGATCACCCAACTAAGAAATAGCACAACCAGGATTTGAACCCAGCCAGCGGGCTCACGTGTGTCACTGTTGCACTACAGGCCTCTCAAGCGTTGGTAGTTTGGGCCTGAGACGGCTATAAAGTTTGATCTCAGAGTTCCAAAAGGCAAGTGGCTCATGAATACGTCTGTCTCCCAGCAAAAGCCCAGAGTGGTAATTCGGGCAAGTTTGGGGCTTGAGGTTTCAAACGGAGTGGGATTATCTTGTGTGTTGGCAAATTTGAATAAGACTCAACCACACCATACCAGGGAGAGCTGAATTCTGAAGGACGTTGCAAGATAAAAATAAATTCTGGAGGCTTTAAGTGGTCGTGGTCAGGAGTGTCTTTAGAAGCCTTTGAATATGTTTTGCCTGAAGAGAGAAAAGACGCTGCATTGCCTCCTCAGGATTCCCATGGACAGCCCCGTCTGCAGACACGACAGATTGATGCTGACCAGGAGCAAAGCGCCATAATTCCTGTTGCAGGGCAGCTGGGGGTTAAGAATCAGTATAATGTTTCCATTTCCCATATTTCTTCATCAGTTAGCTTGGGGAG